TACATATATGTATGTATGTACCCACACCACCACCACACACACACACACAAATATATATATATACAGGATACATACATCCATACATACATACATATATACATACAAACATAGATATATATACATACATACATACATACATACATGCTTATATACATTCAAACGTACATACAAACATACATCCATACATCCATACATACATACATACGAACGTACATAACATACATACATACATACATGAATACGTACGTACATAGATACATATATACATAGATACATACATAGATACATACATACATGCCTAGATATATACATACATACAAACAAACATAAGTATATATACGTATATATTACCGAATAGTGTAAGAATGTCTTCGGACACTTCACAAGACTAAGGTAAAGATAAAGCGGCGATGCTTCCCAATCCGATACACAACGATACTGTAAAGTCTACGAGTTCTGCATCACACTGTATACGAGTATTAGTAGTAACCAGCACCTTAATCTTAATTAACACTTCTTTACGATTAAAATCTGGACAACACATCACATGCACAAAGCACACAGACTATATCGTGTACTATATGAATTATATACCCACGTATCGCAACACAGACAAACCTACCGAATTCCGTCTACCTACATGTAATAACATATATCCCACTCCCTACCTACCACCAGCTAATGACGATGATGACGATATAGACATGATACCCGCGTTAATGTCCGACAGCAGTGACAGCGATACTCCGTTTATCACCAATACGATCACTAACACGACCAATAATACGACAAGTACTAGTAACGATAATACCACCACGGTACAAGAGGCTCTGCGTACAGGCACTCCAGCCCAGCAGCACGCTGCCATCATCGCACTACATGGCCAAACACCCGGACCAACAACAACACAACCAACAACAGCAACAACAACACCACCACCAACAACAACATCAACACCACCAACAACAACACCACCAACAACAGCAACAACAACACCACCAACAACAACATCATCAACAACACATGATGTACAGCCTCTCACCACAGCCACAGCCACACACACCCGAGTCCATGGCAACGCCCCCCCGACACGGGGGCGCGGGTGGGGTGTGCGTGGCCTGAGAGGCGCGGCACGGGGTGGTACGAGAGCCGTGAGAGAAGTGAGGGATGCGGGTGGTACCAACACCAATGCAGATGGGGCTGTCCATCTGGGGCAGGGGCAGCCCCATGGGCGCACCCATGCGGGAGCGAATGGGACCGGCGGCCCTGTCCCGGCTGTGTTTGGTCCGGGTACACCTGTGGGTGGTAGTGGGTCGTCGATGCGGAGTATAGGGAAGGGGAATGCGAGACGTGCGCGTATCAAGTGGCGAAAGCAACTGTGCAAGGAGGTGTGTGGGTGGCGCGTGGCGACGGGGACTTTTGGCGGGAAACCCGCTGGGGTGGGTGGAGTAGATGGAGCAGCGGAGCAACTTACCTACCTGGATGTACAGATGATGAGCAACACGCCGTGCTGGAAAGCGCCGCGGCTGTGTCTGCAGCGGTTGTATATTGAGAGTTTGCTGCAGATCTTGTTCTACAAACAGGTATGTACACGTCTATTCGTGATGTATTAACTTGTACATTAATTGAGAGTCTGTTACACATTTGTTATACAAACAGGTATGTACACGTCTATACATGATGTATTAATTTGTACATTTTTGAGAGTCTGTTACATATTTGTTCTACAAACAGGTATGTGCACGTCTTTTTGTGATGTATTGACTTGTATACTATTGAGAGTCTGCTACACATTTGTTCTACAAACAGGTATGTGCGCGTGTGTTCGTGTATGTATTGAAATGCAAGTGACCTATTCTAGTGCATATCGAGGGTTTTCTGATAGTCTTGTCTTGCCCTGTCAAAAGGTACGTGCGAGTGTGTTTCTGTGTGTATCGGAATGCATGGGGCCTTGTCGAGTGTATGTCAAGAGTATGCTCAGATTTCGTCCTACACATAGGCATGTGTGTAAGTGTATGTGTATTTGTTTATATATGATTGAATGCGGCTGTGTCGAGTGTATATTTGCGAGTTTTCTACAGTCGTCCTACAACAACTTGCATGGTGTGTGAGCATGGATGTGAATTGTATCTACGCGTCCTACAGCCCACCTACCCAACCGAACCCAACCCAACCCAACCCAACTCAACCCAACCCGACCCCACTCAACCCAAACCAATCCAACCCCACTCAACCCAACACAAACCAAACAAACCCAACAAACCCACTCCCGTCCACCCACAGGCCTTTGCCTTCGCCTACGTGCGCAACTACCGGGTGATCCACAGCCACTTCTGTCGCAGCGACATCATGTCGTCGGACTCCCTCACGAACGTCTCGGTGCAGCTGTTTACCGTGCCCAGCATAGTGTCCTACCTACACGCACGTACGGATGTACTGGGGATCATGACCGACACACTGGAGTACGTGCTTGAGCCTGTCCTGGGCCATGAGGAGGAGCGGCGGTGGCAGAAAAAGTCACTCAAGCGCGAAATCAAGCGCGAAAAAGGTATGTCTCATACTAGTAGGCACGGTCGCAAGGATGAATGTATATGTGGAACATCAAACACGGGACACGTATTGCATGCCTGTCTGTGTGTAAGTGCAGTGTTGTCTAGTAGGCGTAGTCCTGAACAGGAATGAAAGTATGTGTGGAACATCAAACAAGGAACACGAATGTGCGTGTCTGTCTGTCTGTGTAAATCCAGTTTTATATACATACATACATTCATACACACACACACACATATATATATATATATATATATAGTGCCACCGCCTGCTGTTTACTGCCTATACCCTCAAACACTAATCCCTATACCCTCGGCTTAGACATACGTATGTACGCAAGAACGATCCCATACCAAATACCAAGAGACTCGCTCACGCACCAGACAGCCTCTCATTCTACTACACGAGCATTCTGCATATGATCTGCTCGATTGTATTGGCACACCTTCACACTCTGAGCAAATACACTATAACTACTATTTGATTTACACGCACAAAACTGGGCACCAGACACCACACATGCATGCATACCCTGCACATGCACCGTAGACACGCATATGCACACCAGGCATGTCTTCTAAGGCAGGCGTCTGGTACACCACAACCCAGAACGTCTTGATACATTATATAGATAGGCATGTACAAAAACGCTATCACCTCAACCCAGAACGACTAGATACATTATATTTAGAGGCATGTACAAAAACGTTATCACCTCAACCCAGAACGACTTGATACATTATATTTAGAGGCATGTACAAAAACGTTCTCACCACAACCCAGAACGACTTGATACATTATATTTAGAGGCATGTACAAAAACGTTCTCACCACAACCCAGAACGACTTGATACATTATATTTAGAGGCATGTACAAAAACGTTCTCACCACAACCCAGAACGACTTGATACATTATATTTAGAGGCATGTACAAAAATGTTCTAATGTATACCTTCCACGCGTGTAAATGTGTGCAGAAGCGGACGAAAGTCCCCGTCACAGGGCTGAAAGTGGGACTGCTGGTCAGTCCGCATATGGGAACACTGCGACGACAACGTCTGCTGAGGAGCGAACCGCCGGAGACTCCAGCACGCACACACACACGCACTCAGCAGCTACAGATGAGGGTACGTGCGTGGATACTAGCACACACACCGCCACAGAGAGAGCGACGGGCGATAGTACGACAATTACGGATGATCTGAATGTGTGGCATGTGTGGTGTGGCAATGGAGAGTTTAGATATATGCGACGGTTTGGGGTGTTGGTGGATCTGAAGTATCTGCTCAGGCACGCGTATATTTTGGCGGGAAAGGGGCCCGAGGAGGAGAGTGTGGGGGAGAGGCTCGAGCACCACGTGCATCGCAAAGAGGCGAGTTTGCGTGAACGTGTGTGTGTATGCGTACGTGTGCAGAGATACACATGTACATATTTGGGGTGGATGTAGATACAAATTATAGGGTGAGTGTATGATGGGTATGCATGTCGGGAGTAGGGTTGTACAAATAGCTTATACATCACATACATACAGATAGATTAATAGTCCGTGGATCCTTCGGTATATTCTTGTATCAGGATATAGAGATTGACGTGGGTTTTACACGCACATAAATACATATACACATCGAATAGCCTGCGCAATACCAACGAACATCTGTATTGTATTTCTGTACGCATAGAATGAAGGTCTCATGACCCTTGTATGCTTTGTCTGTAGGTAGGTACACGACCAAGGGGTTGTCCTGGTAGTGTGGATCTGTACTCAACCACTTCGTATGTAACTCGTCCAAGAGCCCCTATCCGATCCACGCGGTCCAGTATATGACTAACACGTGGACGGAAGTATATGCATGGAGGTTTTGTACCGTACGCATGAAGTGTGTTTATGTAGGCGTGTGTGTTCATGTAGGCGTGTGTTTATGTAGGTGTGTGTCTGAGGTACAGTCGATGTTTGCCTTATATTACGGACTTGAACACAATCTCTCCACATTTAATTACCCATTCTCGTCGATGAATTACCTCAATACGGGGTTTTTTAGGGTTTTAGTGAAACCCTATTCTCTTCGATTGATTACCCAATCTCAATCGATTTTAGGGCTTTAGGGTATCAATAAAACTCTCCAATTGATTACCTATTCCCATTTATCAGTCAACCTAATCATTTCTCCCAATATTAAGCACTCACCTTCCTCGACAGCCCACACAAGTATCAATTCCTCATACCGTCCTCACCTCCACCTCCACCCCCAACCTCAACCAGACCGTCATGAAGCACCTACTGAAGCTCAGCGGCATATTCAACGGCATGGACTGTGTGAGGCGTAAATTGGGTACCCACGTAGAGTACGAAGATCGTGCCTGGCTGGAGGCGTTTAATCTATACATCCACTTCGCACCGTGTCTGGATCAACTGGTGGCCATCATCACCTTACTTGACCAGACGCCCAGCATCGATAACGGTATGAATAGCGGTACGGTTATAACACACACACACACACATACACACACATACACACACACATATATATATATATATATATATATATACATATATATACACACATATATATATACATATATATACACACACACACATATATATATATATATATATATATATATATATATATATATATGTGTGTGTTGTTTTTGTGTTTTGCTTGCGTGTGTGTGTGTGTGTGTATGTTCTGTTTATGTGTGTGTGTGTGTATGTGGTTATGTATGTGTGTGTGTACGTGTATCTCTTCGCACTTTGGATACTTCGCAAACGGCCGCAGCAGGCTGAACAAGATGCACATGCTATTGCTTCATGTGCACGAGGAATGGGTTCATTTCCCACACATACAATGTCAGGGTTTTCGTCGAGATGATGTTGAGTTAGTTTGTTAAAGTTTCTATCTTGGCTGTTTGCATCTCCATGTACCGGTCGACCTCTCGTTGCCATGGGTTTACGCCTAATATGGGAAAACCTGCCTTATATGGGCACACTCTCACCACAGGTGCTGCGGTTACGGATATCACCGAGATGGACACAGACGACCGCGCCAACCCAATAACCACGTGCGAAGGCACTAAAAGTTCAGAGGCTGGTGTCAAAACGGTGTCACGTGTCAACGAGGGTCCGGGCAATGGTACCGAATATTCTGCGTCTGTGCTCAACTGGGCCATCACCGAAGTCTCGCGCGGTATCATCCGCAAGATGACAGCCCCGACGGTGCAGAGTCCCAAGTTCAAAGACTTGTATGACAATGACCAGTACGACCGCACCACACGCCACATATCGGTACACCAACCGCTGCACAGGGCCGCTGCCGAGATGTTCATGCAGCTGGGCAAGCTGGGGAAGGTATGGGTGTTCATATATACCCCATACGTACATACATACATACATCAGTCCTCAGTGTATATACATGTATAGGTTATATCGTTGTCGTGCGTACTTACATACATAAGTCCTCAGTGCATGTACATGTATAGGTTCCATCGTTGTCATATGTGCATACATACATAAGTCCTCAGTGCATGTACATGTACAGGTTCCATCGTTGTCATATGTACATACATACAGCAGTCCTCAGTGCATGTACATGTATAGGTTATATCGTTGTCACACGTACATACATGCATCAGTCCTCAGTGCATATACATGTATAGGTTCCATCGTTGTCATATGTACATACATACATCAGTCCTCAGTGCATATACATGTATAGGTTATATCGTTGTTATACGTACATACATACATCAGTCCTCAGTGCATATACATGTATAGGTTATATCTGTCATACGTACATACATACATCAGTCATCAATGCATATACATATATAGTTTCCATCGTTGCATATCAACACTCGCCCAAAAGTTCATACTCGCTGAAATCACACGCCCACTCATATTCCAACGGTTGCTCTTTCCTAAAATAACCGCGCAGCGATTGGTCAACCCGCTGCCGCCCTCCGACCCCGTATGGACACTACACAAAGGCGCCGGCTTCGGGTTCGAGAAGCTGAAAGAAGATCTTGTACGCATACAGGCCTTCGTTGCTCAGGTCAATGCGGGTTTGTGGGCACGCAATGGCTCGGCTGTGAAGTGTCAGGTGCACAACTACTTCGAGGCGGGGCAGTTTAGAGATCGGTCATATGATCTGGTAAGTCTTAGAGGGATGTGTGGAGTATGTGCATGTGTATGTGGAGGTGTATTTGTATGTGCATGTACATGTGCATATGTATGTATATATGTGTATGTGTTTGTATTGAGTGAGTGCGTCTACCCGGCGTGTTAGTCATGCATGTGTATACACATAGGCTATTCCTTCCGTAGGCCATTGCAAGCCTACGGGTGTATCTAGACTGCTGTTGTATGTCTCTGGGTGTACTGATTCCCTTAAGTGGCTCAGTCTCGAGAGTGGCCGTGCAAACGTCTATTGCAGATGGGCACGCTGCATTTAAACAACACCCACCTTTGTGTGCCTATCAATAGGCACACATGTAGCACTCTGATACTATCTACCCCCCCCTGCTACTAGATCACATCACATTGTATCGTACACATGGGCACTACTTGCTTTATCACATGGCACGTGTTTATACCTACCCCCATCTATATCTGACCATCCTCACTTCTCTACATTCACATGGCACACGCTTATACCTACCTTCAACCATATCTGATCATCCTCACTTCTCCTACAATCACATGACACACGCTTATACCTACCCTCATCCATATCTGATCATCCTCACTTCTCCCATCATCACACGACGCACACGTGCACATCCTTTCATCTCACCTATCCCCACTCACTCCTTCCTCAGGACATCGTGTGCCTGCAAGGATTCGCGGCCCTGTGCCCGCGTGACGAGATGCTCGAGTCAATGCTACACACGTACAGGCTGCACGACATCCTGCGCCACGACGACGAGAAGAAGCGCAAGAAGAACTTTGCGCAGACGGGCAAGAACGCACGAGGGCGCTCAGGGCATCACACGCGAAGGTTAGTCGACTCACACGTGTAGGGTGGTTGGGTGAGAGAGACAGACAGACAGACAGAGAGTTGTGTGTGCGTACATGTGTTATTGTGTGTGTGCGTACATGTGTGTACGTGTGTGTGTTCTTGTGTGTATATATGATACGGATCAAGGCTGTGTGTCTGTACGTGTGTGTGTCTGTACGTGTGTGTGTGTGGGTGTGTGTGTGTGTATGTGTGTAGTAGTGCTTGTGTGTATATATTATACGAATCAAGACCGAGAGAGTGTGTTTGTGTGCGTGATGGTATGTCTGCGAGTGTGTTGATGTTTGCCTTGGAATAAGCTTGTACAGTTTCGCAAGGGTGCACGGGGACGCTCGGCATGTCATACTAAGGGCTGTCGTATTGCTGTAGAGTTTAGCTATACACATGAGTATGTACATGCATGTGTATTAGCTATTGTATTGTACTTATATATGTTTGTAAGAGTGTATATGTATGTATGTATGTATTTATATATGCGTGTGTATTTCTTGACACAAAGGTCCGGGACGCACGCAGACGCATCAGGCATATTTCGCGATTTTTTGCCATGATATCATTGATGAATGCCCATGTGCGTGTAAATTGTGTGTCTGTGTATGCCTCTGTATGTATGTGTGTGTGCATATGCATGTGTATGTATGTGTGTGTAAATTGTGTGTCTGTGTATGCTTCTGTATGTGTCTGTGTACATGCATGTGTATGTATGTGTGTGTGTTTGTGTATGTACAGATATATATATATATATATGTATATATATACATATATATATATATATATATATACATATATATATTTATATATATATACATATATATATATATTATATATATATATATACATATACATATATAGATATATACATATATATATCTATCTATATCAATATATATATGTATTATATATTATATTATATATTTATATATATATATATATATATATTGCGTGTATCAATGTGTGTGTGTGTGCGTGTGTGTATGTATGTGTGTATATATGTTCATAAGTATGTGTGCGTGCGTGTGTGTATGTATGTGTGTATATATGTTCATTAGTATGTGTGTGTGCGTGTGTGTATGTATGTGTGTATATATGTGTGTGTGCGTGTGTGTACGTATGTGTGTATATATGTGTATAAGTATGAGTGTGTATGTATGTGTGTGTATGTGTGTGTACGTGTGTGCGTATGTGTACGTGTGTATATACACTATACAATCATAATGTATCACTGCACTTGGTAGCTCTGGTTGCACCTGCGAGTGTTTGTTATGTGCCTTTAAGCACTGAGAACGAGCGCACACTTCGGGTTAACATTCGTGTATGGTGTGTCAATGTAACGGCTCGATGCTTTCAAGCATGTGTGCATGCATGCATAGACATACATACCCACAAAACAGCATGATGCTGAGCTCGAGGTTCAGGAAGGAATTACGAGTTAACATGTGAGAGTACTTTCTTGTTCATGCGCTTATTCAGAAGTCCGGAAGTGTAGCCAAGTATCCTTGCAACGTGTTCTGCACCCGGCTGACTACTTTACACGAACCATGCCTGTATCTCTTAACCTCTACATGTGTCAAGGTGCTTGTACCCCCAAAACGGTTGACAACACAACGTACTTGTATTTCTCAACTTTGAACCACGTCTTTTGTAACTCATAACTTGCCTAGGAGAACATTACACATCGACATATCCGACTCATCCGGCGACGACGCAGATGACGTGGCCAATAGGAATCGACGAGGCACGGGTCGTCATGGCAACGGCGAGAATGCCAGAGACGAAGAAAGTACCACAGATGATGAGGATGATGGAGATTTCCGCACACGAATCCCTCGGCACACCGAGCACGCAGGTGGCCATAGACGGGGCTATACACTCGAACACGCACACGGACATGCACATGAACACGCACACAACCACGCTCACAACCACGCTCACAACCACGCTCACAACCACGCTCACAACTATGGACACACTCAGCCGCAAGCACCCCCACAACCACAGCTGCACGGCCCTGTCCCCGCCATGCCACAGGGCGCAGCGCACAACTCGGTGGCAGCCCAGATCATTGCGGCCATAACGGCCCCATTCCTTCCAGGAACAGGAACAGGGCCAAGGGCCCAGACAGGTAGGCCTCTGCCTTATATCCGGTGGTAGGGAGGTTTTTTTGTGAGGGGGAGGGGACTGGTACACAGTATCGAAACGTGAGCTTGTGCAGGGGGTCGTTTCGATATCAATTGGGATGTATGTCTTTTCTCAGTAATCTTTCTGGGCACGTACACGACTTAGATGGTGCATTGTATCTATATAAGCATATGCATAGCACAGTAACCTATTGTCATTGTTATGTACGTATAACGAATGGGACACGACTTAGATGGTGCATTGTATTCATATAAGCATATGCATAGCACAGTAGCCTATTGACATTGTCATGTACGTATAACGAATGGGACACGACTTAGATGGTGCATTGTATCTATATAAGCATATGCATAGCACAGTAACCTATTTTCATTGTTATGTACGTATAACGAATGGGACACGACTTAGATGGTGCATTGCATCTAGATAAGCATATACATAGCACAGTAACCTATTGACATTGTTATGTACGTATAACGAATGGGTATGTATGTTTATGCGTATTTGGTTTCCCCGCGATCCGCAGATGCAACTGTGCAAAGGGCAGCACCCCACACCACCACACACACAGACCCACGCAACGGAGCAACGGTACACACAACCACGCACACCGTCATCACAGGGCCACCCATGATGCCACTGATGCAGGGGTAAGATTGCTTGTCCGTATTATTCATGTACAACCCTTGAAATGCTATATATGTATATGTATATATACATATATATATATATATAGTATGGTTTATTAATAAGACAGATATAATCATGTCAACAGTTTGTTCATCAACATATACGCGTTGTATGTGTACACACATAGTTAGCCTACACGCGTATTGCTGTCGTGTTAGGTTGATTTGCATGCAGCATCATGACTGTTGTTTCCAATAAAGTTGCATAGTACAGCCGTGAGTTGTCAATCTTGCTATCTAAATTGGATCCCGAAACTACGTACATTTCCCTGCAAATACACCCTAAACTCAATGCTAGCATCACACCCGACAGACCAACTGTGTCCCAGGCCATAGTGCACAATCTAATGTACATATTGAAAGACACTCGCCTTTGCCTGTGACACACTGTACTCTCATAACACCACAGCTAACCACCTACAGGGCTGCGCTGTCGATCAGTCCTGTACAAACGTATACGTATAAACGTGTTTGATTCGGAAACACCTTATAGATAAGCTGTCCGTAGCGAACAAATATACTTGTTGGTTCAGGTCCGTGTCTGTACGCTTCAAGTACAGTACGCCGACTCTCCAGCAGAATGTATAGTCTATGACTGGTTTCAAACATAAACATACTTACTTGACAAACGTCGTGCTTATTCCCTCACACTCACAGGATGGGCCCTCCCGGCCAACGGGGCAATGGTGGGGGAGCACAACCACAAACTCACAGAGACGCCCTGGGCAACACCCACACTATACTGCACGGAGAGCTTACCCCCGAGCAAGTACGCAGCATGTTCACAGGCCTCGCACAGGCGAATCCGACAGCTAATGTAAGTATTGTGTGCATGTTATATACGCTATAGGAATACCTGATTGCATGTCTTTTATATATATATATATATAAATACATAAATACATACATATATATATATATATATATATATATATATACATACATATATATATATATATATATATATATTTATAAATATATATATATACATAGACATATATATATATATATATATGTATATATGTATGTATGTATTTATATTTATATATATATTAATATAAATTTTCTGTATACATTCATCACAATACACTGACTATCGACCCGCAATATCCACCAACACATCATACCCACAGCCTACTCCTGCAGGTCCTGTGCTACCTACCTACGGCCCACCCACCGTCGCCCAAGCGGCAGCAGCCGAGGTCATGGGGGCAGCTACAACCGAGTTTATGACCGGTTTAAATGTTCTTCCTGGAACACGCAGAAACACTACCGGGGGGATGAGTGACCCTGCCCTGGGTGCGGGAGATGGAGACAGGGGTGCGGAAAGGACTAGAGTCGAGCGTAGGGCTAGTGCCAGTGAGAGTGAAAGCGAGGACGAGATTTCCGCACATGGCAACGCAGGTAGGTACAGGGTTTCGGATTTAGAGTATAGAGTTTGGACTTTGGGTAGTACACGGGATTGTTCACGACAGGTATATGACGGGAGGGTTTAGAGACTAGTCTTATTGTATGTGTAGCGGCCTTCTTCCCAAGTGCATGTATGTATGTATGTACGTATGTATGTATGTATGTGTATGTATTTATGTATGTATGTATTCGTACGAATGGAAGTGCAAGCATACATGTCTGCTGAATCGAATTCATATTTCTCCGCATTTCTAATTTCTGATCGTTGCTGGTAGGACACGAGTATTTGTGCAATACCAGTAGTTTTGTAAGGCGGGCTCGAAGTCTATCCGTACATATTGATACACACACATACACACACACGCACACACACACGCATACACACACACACACATATATATATATATATATATACATATGCATGTATATATATATATATATATATATATATATATATTAAGTACCATGATATACTTAGAGTATTACTAACATTTCACCGTATTGAAGATCAAGTCGACAAAATCGAATTTGTGGCGGAGGTACAGAATGGATACAGTTTGACGATAGTATGCGAACGTCAGCATTGTTTTTTATCCTACTCTCGGCCTACTTTCACATGTACACCTTATTATGCCATGTGGTCCACATTCACTATTAAGAGGTTCCAACCATGTGTCATGTGTTTACATCAACACCTGTAGGGTTCAACATGCCCCACTTCAACATTCCGATGCCTCCGGGGATGCACCTCGGAGCCGTTCAGATGGTACCAGTCCAAATGGATGCAGGAGGTGTAGGACATACGAACGTAGAGCTGGCTGCGGGCACAGAAGATATCCTACAGCAGTTGTTACAGGTGCGTTGTATCATGTATATATATATACGTATATATACACTATATATATATAATACATATACATATACATATACCTGTAAAAAGGTCACGTGTGTACATACACACACCATTGCACTTGTTATTATCTTGTGGTCTCATGACAGTCTGCCTGACCGGCGACACTACCGTCTGCGCCAGTCGTGCGTACGTATTGCACCTATGTACACACCACTGTATAGCCTATCCACTGACTGGCAAGTGCCAATTAACTCAGTTCACCATTGCGTAGAGCGTGTCAGGCATCGCTGCGTACAGCATGCGCCGACGATGAGTGAGAGCACAGCTGGATGGCACGTGCCACCCGCGAATGCATACCCAGCCCATTCATGCCCAGAGTTAGTACACATCTGCGTTGTATTGGTCATCAGTATACATCTTCGTTGTATTGGTGCTTCCAGGTGGTGTGCTTGATAATTGTATAATTTTGCGTTTCATTGGTGTTTCCAGGTAGTGTGCTTGGTGTAACAGTATACGTTTGCGTTTTATTGGTCATGCCTCGCTTGCCTATCTATCTCAGCTACCTACAAGCGTGTGCCAGGCACGTTCCTATTTGACTATCACCACACCCACTTGCGCTTACGTACTGCTTGCTGTGGCATTACTCGCTCCTCCTGGCCTGTCCTCTGGTGTGTCTGGTCATGGGCCACATGTAAGCCTGTCTCCGCCTACCATTCGTGCCACCAATGCGCATACTCACCTTCACTGCGTACTGTGTATTGCATACTCGTACACACAGCGGCTCAACACCAACGCCAATCTCGGGGTACCCGGTGGAGGTCTGCCCGGCGATGCCGGAGCGAATGCGACAGACGCACGCGTCCCTGGGCACCCACCAGCACAAACCAACCCACCCACACACACACACACACGTGCACATACACATACCCCACACGCACATACACATACGCAGGCACACACGCATTCTGCGTCTACACACGCACAATCGCACGGGGCAACCAATAGTACACACACATCACGAGCAGCCGGAAGCAGCGCGAGTGAAAGTGCGCCTGATGGGCCGGAGAAAGGGTATATCCAGGGGTTTCAAACACGGGACGAGGCTTGCGCTGGTTCTAGCGACCCCGCGGATGCGATGGACGTTGACGAGTGGGAGGAGGACAGAGGCACAGCAGGAAGTACCTCCAGGGCAGCCGAGACACACGCGGCGAGTGACGCCAATAGTCTTACAGCTAATGCACGGGGAGTTGAATCACGGAGACGGGAAGGAGAACGCCACAGCACCCACCCACCCACACACACACAGCCCGCAGCAGCGCAGCAGGCATCGGACAGTCAGGTACACGGTGAGGGGGTAGCCAGACAGGCACAGGGGTACAGACCACCCACTACACATGGGCATGGGGTGATGCAACGGCTTGCAGTGACACAGATAGAGGACGATGACTCGGATGACGACCAGGACATGGATGAGTGGGAAGACCTGCCAGGGACACCCGTGTCAGCCGAGATGGCAAGTCTCAGGGAACGTATACGGGCGGTACGCGAGGAGCTGGAAGGAGGGACACAGACACAGCCATATACTCAGACTCAGACTCAGACTCAGACTCAGCCTCAGCCACAGACTCAGACTCAGACTCAGAATGTATCAGGCGACAGTGGTGCAAGTACAGCTACCAACCCCACACAGGCCACAGCGCAGCACACAATAGACAGTCAGGTGCCCCGTGATTCATTAGCCAGACAGGCGCGTGACCACGAATCCACCCCACCCCCACCTGCTACACGCGAGACTGAGACGATCACTGGACTCACAGCCATGCAACACAGTCAAGTGGCACAGATAGAGGACGATGACTCAGACGATCAGCCCACGCAGGAGGGGGGGCGTCGTAGGCACGCATACGATTCGCCTGAGATGGTAAGTTTCAGGGCACGCATACAGGCGGCGAGCGAAGAGCTGGACAGACAACACCCACCGACACCGAGACGGCCAGAGACACAGCTACAGGCACGGGCAGAGGCGATACAGACTATGACACGAGCACAACGACAGGCACAAGAACGAAGACAAGCACGTGCACAGGCACAGACGCAGGCGCAGGCAGAGGGGTCAGCTGGTGGGAGCAATGCACGCAGTGCAGAGGACATGGTGGACGCAGAGTACGAGACGGCTGAGCAACGCGCTGCAGAGGAACTGGATAGTGTTCTGAGTCAATTGCGCAACAGAATTCGTCAAGGTTTGTGCGGCTGTATATATATATTTCTATACATATACATATA